ACAATGTCAAATACTGCAGGGAGATCAGAGAGAATGAATGCAGTCTAAATAATGCCTAAAATGTTTTTTGTTGCTGATTTCAGGTGGATTATAAAGAGTTGTATAGAAGAAAGAGAGGTGGACTCCCACACAGATACTGTGAAATTCCTGTATGAAGACTGAGGCAGTAACTGTGTGTGTGTGTGTGTGTGTGTGTGTGTGTGTGTGTGTGTGTGTGTGTGTGTGTGTGTGTGTCTGTCTGTCTTGGGGGGTGGGGCAGCAGCGGCAAAGAGGGGCAGCAGCAGAGCAGATCTTAGAAATTTACAGTGAAAGAATCAATAAAGGTTGGAGTTCAACTGGGCATGGGGAGATTAAAGGTAAGGAAGAAATATAAGATGATACTGTGACCCAGGGATACCTGGATGGGTGTTTACTGATGGAAATATTGAAAGGAAACAGAAAACAAAAGGGATCTAATCCAAGTTCTTCTTCATTTTAGAGGAACAAAGAAGATAAAATAATCTAGAAAAGAAGATAAAGAATTTGGTTTTATAGAGTTGTTGGCAAAACATCCAGACTTGGTTATTCCTGTAGTTATGGAGAAAGAGGTGAATAATAAGGGTTAAAAACAAAGATCTGGAAATCATCTGAAATATGTCTTCTTCTATTTATTTGTATGGTAACTTTGGAAGTAAAATTTGCTTTTAGATCCATCTCACCTGATGCTTGTAACTACTTCCCAAAGTAGGCAAAATAGAAATGACTATCTTCATTTTATAGAAGATATATCTTCAGAAAGGGTAAGTAACTTTTATAAGGTGACTCAACCCAGTTTCTAGACCCGAATAATTCAGTTATTTTCCCAATACACAATGGTCTCATCCTGAACCCACTTCTGGGTAGTAGCTGAAAATAGACATGAACATAGAAAAATATGTGTGAGAACTGACAAACACTAGATGGTAATAGGCAAAACCGAAAATAGCTGTTTTAGAAAGTGGCTGGATTATGTACAGTATATTCTAATCTTTGAGGCAGATTGTGATCTTTGTCAGGTAGTGATCAAAACCACCCTTGAGAAAAGCTGTCTGTTGGGGTAAATTAAATATATAGCTAGGAAGCTGTTTAAAGAGTTCAGAACCTCATATATAGTATGATTTTGATAAAGACTGTAGAGGTGAGAAATGAGAATATCTCATTTCTGGATTTCTAGAAATATTAACATAGAAGAATAACAATGCTTGGTCTTTGTCTAAATATGGGGATTAGGAAGTAAGAGAATAATTCTGAAGATAATTCAAGGTTGAGTCTAAGAATACCTGGAGTCAGACAGTACTTCTGGTAACCATAAAAAGGGAAAGAGAGGGGGTAATGATTCCGAAAATAAGAAGGTAATGGGGAAAAAGATTTAATTTTAAGCATTCTTGAAATAAAGATGC